TCGGCTGGCGCCGAAAACTCGATCACGAACATCGCTTTGGTTTGATGGTCGAGGAGGACTACATCAGGCTTGTTAGCTTGAATTTGCCTGAGGGTGGAGAATGAGAAGTTCCAATAAATTCGGCACCTCTCATTCTCCACAACGGACTCAATATCCCCCGGAGCATAGGGCAGCACTGGGGTCTCGTCTATTCCGTACGAGTGCCTCAAATGGTAGTAGAGCACTCGTAATGCCGCATTGTGTCTATGGATATAGGCCGAGACTGCATACACCGTGCAAGAGGACAGCAGGTGCATAATTGTCTCGGGCGCCCTGCGGCAGGCCCTGCAATTTGTGTCAGGGACCTCCATACCCATGACACGGCTACGGTAGACGAGAGTGTTGAAAACCCCATCCTGGCATGCCATGATGAACCCCTCTGTTTCCGATTTGAGCCCGCCTGACTTCAGAAAAGCAAAAGTCAGTTCTTTGGATAAGCCCCGGTCTTCAATGGTCTTGAAGTAGACCGAATGCATGGGCTTATCCATGTGAAGCTGCAGGAGCTTTCTCACTTCTGCAGCTTTGATGCGGGCCTTCCTCCGAGCAGGCTCTAGCTCAGTTACTGAGTCCTGAGCCTCGCGCTCGGAGTCGAAAATCAGAGACAATTCATCGGCTGCTCGACGTGCTGCCCTGAAAAGAAAAGCTCCTACTCCTGCCTCTTCATGGGTTTTAACCATTTGCAGAAGGGGGTCCGAACTCCTGATGACTTTGCAGGCGCCATCCAGAACCATTCTGTTATGGAGATACTCCAAGCTCAAGAGTCCACGGCCACCCTGGTCTCTAGGTATGTATAACCGTGGAACGGACGAATTTGGATGCAGACTCCTATTATTATTATTATTATTATTATTATTATTATTATTATTATTATTATTATTATTATTATTATTATTATTATTATTATTATTATTATTATTATTATTATTATTATTATTATTATTATTATTATTATTATTATTATTATTATTATTATTATTATTATTATTATTATTATTATTATTATTATTATTATTATTATTATTATTATTATTATTATTATTATTATTATTATTATTATTATTATTATTATTATTATTATTATTATTATTATTATTATTATTATTATTATTAATATTCCCTTATATAGAGTTAGTGACTTTCTTCTCCATGTTCGAGATCCTTAATCGCCATATTTATGAGTCGGGTACCATTTTTTTCCGTTACTATATTTCTCCTGCAACGACGAGCATTTGGTTCCCAAATTCATTATTCATCCGGAAACTACTTACAATCACCCAGTAGCCATCATTTTATTGTTGCTGGTAACATTTTTTGTCGATGAGTAAATTTTCGTGCTAGTTAATAATCAATAATTTTTCGATTTGCCATATATTTTTGTCCAAACAATCCACCCTCAGCCTATGTATCGATAGTTATGATTCACCCTGTATACTCACCAGTGTCTCGAATGAATTCGGATTGAGAGATATTCTACAAGGAATTTAGTCAACAGGAGTGAAGCAGACGAAGTTGGATGTCAAGACAGCATTTTTGTTCACTGAACTAAATGAGTATGACAAAAGTAATTATACAGCTTGAAAAAGGCACCGGTATTGTGGAACCAAAAACTAACAAATATCCTACATAGGCATTGCCTGATGCAGCTCAAAACTGAACAGTGTGTATTCGTAAATAAAGATAGATCGATGGTTCTTGCGATACATGACGATCTGCTAGCGGGTTCTGACAATGGAAAAATGAAGAAGTTCCTCAATAATCTACATAAGGAGTTCGAAATCAGAATCGATAAAGATCCTTATACATATTTCGCTATTACTATCTCAAAATGTTGTGGTAAACTGAAATTATTTGAAGAAGGGTATGCACAACAAGTTGGTGATGAATATCGGATATCGGACAGATGCCAAAGCAGCTTTCGCACCTTCATACCAGTAAGAATGAAGTCAACTTCCCGTTCAGAGAAGCTGTTGGAAAATTATTGTATCTTTCAACGAAAACTTGATCTAACATCTGTTGACATACGGTGGCCGACATGTTGAGAACCCCACCCAATCGAATGTAGTGAACTTAAAAAGGACTATCAATAAATATGTCAACTCTATAAAATATTTTGGAATTGCCTATAATACATGCGAGAAAGATGCCATTCTCACTGCTTACTCTGATTCCGATTATACAAGAGATGAAATCACACGAGAAAGTACTACAGGATTCATATAATATTTCTCAATGGCGGTTCTATCATCAGGTCAACTGTATAACTGAGTACATCGCTGCGACAGAAGCTGCTAAAGTTCTGATCTATTTGAAGAGTTTCGTCTTCGAACTTTCAAACAGAGATGAACCTAGAGAATTGAATATTGATAACCAGAGTTCTATATCAACTTGGTGAATGATGATGTATTCTATCGACGAAGCAAGCATATTGACGTGCGATTCCATTCCATCAAGGAAAAAGTTGGAGGAAAGCTGATCACCATGAAGTAGCGCCCCACTTCAGATCGAATTGCTGATATTTCGACCAAACCACTTCCTACATTCAAGTTTGGAAAATTTGTAAAAGAAATGGTGTGTTTTTTATACTGTGTTGAAAAACATTGATAGTTAATTATTTGTTTGTTTTTTGTTTTGTCTTCAAATATGTTCCGAGCATATCAATTTGATCGCGATTGGGGTGATCATTGTTTATAGCATCAAGCAATTGGTGGAGTGTGTTGGAACAAATCATTCTGTACATTTTGAATTTTCTGTAGATGCGCAACCACAAGATCACCCTATACGATTATATTAATCAATGTTGTTACGATTGACAGTCTGTCTAATCATCTCCTTATTGCATCACCGTGTATGGTGTATTGGTAAGATTGATTTTATTAAATCATTGCCACATTCCCGAACTTGCTTTCTCTCAAGGACCCTGCTCAACATTCTTCTTCTGCCGGTTTTAGGGTTTGCCAGTCCGTAAAGGTAGTGCATTTCGCACAGCGTTTGTGATGTATTTATTTTTCAATTATGTGATTTTGATGACACAAATTTACTTTTCCTACGAGCATGCGCAAGGTAGAACTTTTCCGCACTCATTTGCGTGTGCAAAGTAATACTTTTCCGCACTCAGTGCGGATATGGGTGTTTTGCGCACGGCGTGCGGATAAGTAAAACTCCCCAAAAATCTCATTGGTATGGAACATTTATATTCATTTTAGTTTGCTGTAGACTATTGTATGCACTATAAGACTCCGTTATCCCTTTTACCAGCTTTTACTTTTCAACCGTTCTTCCCGATATTTGTATTTCACCTCAATATAAATATTAGGAAAAAATTATTTAATTTTCTATCATAACATTTTGTTGATATGTAATTGTTTGTTGTTTAGCTATTTCTATCAATGAGTTTAATTAAAAATTATTCCATAAAGTGTAATTTGAGTTGATTTTTTTTTATTTTCGTTGTTATCTGATGTGAAACTCGTGGGGAAAATGTGATTTTCTATTATTATATTTCATTGTTATATGTGATTGTTGTATAGTTACATTTTTCAATAAGTTATAATTCCTTTTATTTACCTTTTTATCTGATATAAAGCTCGTAGGAATAACGTTGTTCCTAACACGTGCGCAAAGTGTCTTTTCCGCACGCCTAACTGTATTTGCATGCGGAAAAGTTACACTTTGCACACTTGTTAGGAAAATGACTATTTTACAGGTACAAACTAATTGTACTTTGACATAAAGTATTGTGTCACGATTCACAGCCTACTTGATAATAAGAAAATGTAAAAGAAACGTAACGTGTTAGATATTAGATAGTCAATAACAATTAATTTAATTGAGTATGATCAGTTTTTTTTCAATTGTGCAGTTATGGAGTTAACGTTTAGATTTACAATTTGCTTTAACGTCTGAATAATTTTTTTTCAATCAGTAAAAATAATATTTGAAAAAATTTACCATGTTTTTTAACAAAAAAGTTTATTCTTCTCGAAAACGGTAAACCTCAGAGCAGGGTACCTATCATTGTGCAGAAAACATTGGGTGGCTCAAAACTGTGGAGAAGAAGTTGCGGAGGAAGACACCCACTACCAGAAAATCTGGAATAATGAAACCACTACCTCTCCAAAATCTTCACAAATTATGAATTCAGGAAAAAATCCGCACAAAACATAGCCTATGAGTAGAATATGCTTACCAAAATTGTTTTTTATTTTATTCGCATAAGGAGGATAGTTTAGTTTTGAGTTTTACGGATCTTGATCAGGTTACCTAACTTGTTTTACTTAGAGTCCCTGTATATTATACAGGGACTCTAGTTTTACTAACTCAGATTCGAAGTCTCATCAGTTCTCCTAAACATTTTATTACTGATTCGTGGCGTTCATACAAAGGATGTTCCAGATTTCATCAGGAATGATAGGCAAAAATAAAAAGGGACGTGTATGTTTCGTAGTTTTTTATACAGGGTGTTGATGTTAGAAATATCATGTGCCATTTTCCATTATGACCTGGTATGAGCTTTGATAATGCCAAAATTGAGTGTAGTAGCAATTGAGCACAATGATTTTTACCATCAATAACAATTAATTAGCTAACTCTTTGGGCCTATGGGGCACAATGGGAATAATTACAGTGAATACACTCACGCCAAAAGATACATGGTCATATTACAAACAAACCTGTCGAGTTAGGCAGAAATCAAAATCAAAAAAACTCAACAACTGTCATCTCGAATACAGAACTCTACAACATACAAGCTTACATAGTTTTTTCTTGTTATTTTCAAGAGTTCTATCTATCGCCTCTCAATTTCTTCCGATTACAATATGAAAGACCCTGTATTGTGTATATATATAGGTACTCAATAATATTTTTCAACAATAAGAACTTCTAGTTACATAAAATGAATTTTTAAATATAAATTATTCATGAATTATGTCCAACACCCATTTATATCACATGCCATAGTGGCAGAATAATAATGCAATATGATTTTAAAGTGCGTAAGATAAAATTGAAGGTTGATGATAGTTGCAGATATAGATACATATGATGTGTTCTACCTATAAATAACAGGGTGAGATCAAAACAGTTATTCAGTTTACTACCAGTGACAATATCGACAACATGAACTTCTCGGTAAGATTTATTTTGCCTCGATAGTTATAATATAATCTCATAGTAGGAACGAACTAGTTGGGAAAGAGATAAATGTATCTTCTTCATTTTTTCCATTGATGTAAACACACTTTTTCTCTGTGGAAAAGATATCACATTTTGAGGACATCTGTGGAAACGCTGTCTAATCGACTATCTCAATTTCCAAATGGAAGCTTACAAAAAAAAAGGAACATTATTGGTTGGACGATGATTCAAGAATATTGATTGTCCAATGTCATGGGGACATCAATAAAATAACAATGGATCACCAACCAATCAAACGCATTTCACTGACATAATTTCATCGACAATGGACTAGTGATGTGTGATGTGTGATAGTTGTTCTTCCATTTCGTCTTTTTGGTACTTACGCATGTGTCGTCATATGTCATTTTGAGATGTGAAGTGGACAAGTTAATTGGTAGGCATTCTCATCAATTCGAAACATTGAAGTATGAAGATTCTTATTCGAGAATATCCACACTTGGAAGGTCGATGGAATAGGTAGTTATCGTGATAGTATGTTGAACAATTCCAATAATATAAAGTTTTATTATAAGTATATCAGGGATTATGGAATACCGTTTTCATTATTTGAGGTATTTTGGAAAGTATTGAATGACAAATGAATTTAAAATGGTGATGGTGTGGTCAAAAGATTTATTAGAGCGACTCATGATAACAAACTTAGATGAATATAAACAAAAAAATAATATTTTGGAATATTGAAAAATAATTTATTTTTGTTGGCCAAAATAGTCGGGTAATATGGAATACCTATAGCAGCTAAATATCTGATGTCTACTTATGACAAAATCGGAAATGCAGTTACCGTTTTCAGCATCCGCACACAGTTCGTGTTCTCAAAGCTTGCATTTTATACTTTGTATCCACTAATCAAATCCACGGATATATCCATTCTTCTGCTTCTAACTGGTTCTAACTGCTATCACTGCGCTTTTTTTATCTTCCTCGTTGAACTTCTTACTTTGTGGAGTTGTGATTCGCATTGTTTTACATTTTGATGATGAAGTATCTAATAATTGAATAATAATAAAGAAGAGCGCTATCTCTTCATAGTCTTCATTCATCTACAAGTACCTAAATTCCTTTCAGGACTGGAACTTCATGGTAGAGGTACTATAACATATACAACTAATTTCGTTATTTCGATTTGATGAGATTGAATAAAGATGCACTCATGTACAATAACTTCCTATTTATTTACTTGTTTACTTCACATTTCTCAATAACAAATGCTCAGGTACAAAATGGAAGACCTAGTGAAAACACATAAATTGTCGATTGTCAAAAAAATGCTCAGTAAAATGCCTCTGATGAGCTTATGATCCATTGCCATTGAGGAACCTACATCCTTCATTCATTGTTCAACCAGTACTGTTCCAGTGATATTCATAGAATGGATTAAACCAATTGATTCCCAAATGCCTTGAAAATAGTGTAATCCTGATCCATAGAAAATACACTATTGTATTGTATGATTAAAACAGTAATGAACATGTACTTTTTCATCACCGAAAAATATCGCCAGCAGTATGCCATCGATCAAATCAATGGGCACGAGAAGCATTAAATTTCTAGTCTGGCTCGCTGAGCACGAGAAGCGTTGCGTCGGGATCTTCAGTTTGATGAAGTGGAAATCAAACCACTGTGACATTTAGGCTCCATTCCATATGATATACTATGCACTGAGCATAATTTAACCCAAATCTAAGAAGCACCAAACTCAATAATCGAACCAACGACCTCTTGATTACAAGTGTGATCGCCTGCCCGTTCGACTTCTGACCGAACAAACGGAACAAAAAACAAATTAAGCATAAAGCGTATATATAGCGTATAGTATATATAAAAACATTTATTCATGGGAAAGTTAACAAAAAACTCAGTTACAAACTGAAAGAAATTAAATTTTCTATTGGATTTGGAGAATCGGTTGATGATTTTCAACGCGTTAGAAGAGATTTCGGGATGTATATTTGAAAGAGCTAAGCCCGTTGTCTCTCATCTGACATTCTTAAGTTTTCAGTCGACTCGAAGTAGAAAATGACCTTTCTGCTGTGGCGGCGTTAATGGGAAGGGTTGCTCAAATTTTCAGTAAGATCTTGATATTAGGATATAAGTCATTGTCACAAACTCCACTTTAAAATCCATAGCTGATGATCTGTAATGACCGAAGAAGCAGGAACTCCCAGATAATGAGTATAGAATTCTGCTGCCTCCTTCACATTTAGTAGGTCATCCTCAGTGCATTCTGATTTTGGCATAAAAATACCTGAGCCAAACAGGTTCAAAGTATCTCCAGAGAAAGGCGGTCTTTCAGAGCATTCGTTACGCTGTTCAGTAATGGAATATAAACAGTTCTTCGGTGATATTCCTCTTCGTTCGTGATTATCTGCCGAGATACAGTACGTGGTGCAGATTTTTGGGAGGGGGTAATGGCAATCGATTTTGCCGCAAAAACAACTTTTTTCAACGAAAAAGAAGAAAAAAACTTCAAAAAGGGAAATTTCGAATTGGAGACGATTGCATTGAATTTGATCCTAAACAGGAAATTATGATTTTGATTGTATACAGGGCGATTCACGGTGAGGGCACATTAGACTTTTCTGGTAAACCAGACATCAGATCACTTTCAAATTTTGATGGAGAGTGTAATCGGAGATCCTCTACCCAACTAAAATATTTTCGACAATACGGTTTTGCCACTTCTATTGGAAAGTAGTAGCAACTGATATTTCAAACGGGGCACCCTGTATTTCATTGCATTTTATGACTTCATCTGAGAAGCTGATTCCATGAATGCAGCACACTTGGGGACTAGCCAAGAACAGATAATCTCTGCCAAGAATGATAACAGAGATATAGGGTGTTCAAAATCGAGATTTTTCAACTTCAGGATTTTTTTGTGTCGAATCAATTCATTCATTCATGGATAAGGATTCAGAATTTTGATCACCCTGATGTATTTCTTCCAATTAAATGACAGTAGTAAATCAAGAGTTGAGATGAGAACATGTAAGCCGATTTAAGTAATAATGAATTGTTTCCACACAAAAAACTCCTATAGTTGAAAAATCTCGATTTTGAACACCATATCTGTAGTAATTCCCGCTAGAACCCAAGTGATGGAATCAGCTCTTCAGGAAGAATCTAAGAATGCAATGAAATAAAAGGTATTCCATTTAAGTGGCAACACCACATTGTCGAAAATATATTTTAGTTATTTAGATAAGGTCAGTTTATACCATTTATAAGATTTTCAAAGTGATTCGATGTTTGTTTCACCAGAAACGTCTTATGTTTATTTTTGACCGTCCCCCTAACTCAGTACATCAGTATTCAATTGTTCTTTGTTTGTTCGGAATTTCATTTTGATATGACACACCACCAATCGATTCATTCAGATAGAACACCCTACTTTTCATAATTATGTAGGTTTGTAGGTACATCAAATATTGAATCATCATTCTAAATCACTCCCTCCCTTAGATATCATAATTATTCATAAGGTATAACTATCACGTCTTTGAATAATATTAAATCGCACACTTTGAACACTGATGTGAGGATATATAATACCACAAGAATTCTCCCTTCCCTTGCAAGAATAATATCAGCGATCAGAACGTTTTTCATTATATTTTATAACAACGAAGAAAACTTGGGTGGATTTCTGAGGGCAAAATACTCGTAAAATATGAAGTGTGTTCGAAATAGGAACAATTATGAAAATGAAATTTCAAACAAGAAAAACTATTCAAAAACTAAGTTAGGGAGGCGGTCAAAAATAAACGAAAAGACTCCTGTAGTGCAAACAGGGTGATTTACGGTGAGGGCACATTAGACGTTTCTGGTGAAACAAACATCGAATCACTTTCAAAATTTGATAAATAGCATCAACTGACATCATATAAATAACTGAAATATATTTTCGACAATGCGGTGTTGCCACTTCTATTAGAAAGTAGTATCAACTTCAATATTTTAAATAGAACACCATGTATTTCATTGCATTTTTAGATTCTTCCTGAAGAGCTTATTCCATCACTTGAGTTCTAGCGGAAATGACTACAGCATTTGCAGATGAATTGGTACATTTCTTTTTATGAACCGTTAACCGTTATCACAGGAAAAAAGTTTTTCACTTCTTTTCGATGGAGCTATCTCCGTTGGATGTGAATTCAAACAATGAGTCCTGAGATTTTGAAAAGAACTGAACGTTTTCGAACATTCTGCACAACAGTTCGTTTGCATTTTCAAAGCGTGAAACGCTAGACTTGGAGATCAAACAATAAATCAATACATCATAGATGAACTACACGGAGAGAGTGTAGTTCGTTTATGGAGTACATATAGGTCGCGTGCACGAAGACCGACCCTGGAGGCAAAATATTGAAACACAACCTCATTCTTCTGTGAATTATTGAAACACAACCTCACTTTTTTATTTGGTTACAGAGGAATCAAAAGGTTGAAATAGTTTTTCACAATATTTTGGCATACGAATCGTGTTTCTTGCGTTATTCATTAATTCAAGCATGCCTTCGCATTGTGCTGTTGTACAATGCACAAAAAATGCAGCAAGAGACTAGGGAATATGATTTTTCAGGTAAATAGTAATCTCACATAGTTATCATTATGAAATGTTGTCATTCCTTATTAAAATTCCTTCTGCCTTCTGCCACTTCTGCAATACAAGCTAATGCTGCTAATAGATTGAAAATGTCTACAACACACACGATCGTCAGCATGTCAGACCAGTCCTACCGATTGATTGCATGAATCCAATCTTCTTGCATTATTCTAGAAATTTCAGGTATATTTCTATTAGCTGATCCTATTGCAGAAGGAATTCCGATGAGAAATCAGAGAAATAACCAAATTTCAAAAATGAAAACTATGAGAGTGACTATAGTAGGTACTTACTTTTGAATCATAATGTACCATCCGGATTTCTTCATCTTCCGCTGCAGTTTTTGTGCATTTTACAACAGCACAATGTGATGGCATTAGCGAATTGATGAATAGCGGAAAAATACGATTCATATGACAAAATAATTGTGGAAAACTATTTCGATCACTTGTAAACAAATATGTTTTGCCTCCAGGGTCGGTCATCTGACAGTTCTTGCACGCGACCTATTCTGAGAACAGTTCGAATGTCAACCAACTAACCTCCTTCTCGTGATACATAATTTGGCGCCAATAAAGGGTATTGGTATTGGGTATTCACTTACCAATGATGCTTCTTTATTGTTTCGCTCCAATATTTGTTCCGCGCCACAACGCTTCTCGTGCCCAGCGAGCAGCGAGCCAGGCGCAATATTTCCTCGTTATGGTGCTATGGCTAGACTTTAGTCATCAAATGTTGGTCCTGCCCCTCCACTGCTCTCATCACCGCCCCTTTTCTCTTGCAGCTCTTCGTCCTTCTCGCCACCACCCTCGCCTGCGGCCACGCCTCCGTGCTAGGCTGGGGTGGCGCCACCCTCGTCGGCCCCGCCAACCCCGGTGCCCTCCTCCAAGGCCCCGCCTCCCGCGCTGTCGTCGCTGGTCCAGACGGCAGCCTCGTCACGGCGGCTGCGCAGGCCGGCGCTCTGGCTGCCGCGCCCATTCCTGGGGGCGTGGTCTCGGCTGCTGTCGCCCCTGGGATTGTGGGCGTGCCTGGATTGGGACTCGGAGTGGGATTGGGACACGGATTGTGGGGCAGATGAGCTGATAGATTGTGCTGATAATTGTATAAGGAACTGATTGAATACTTTTTTGTCTGGATAAATAATAATAATAATAATAATAATAATAATACGTTTATTATTCCTCAAAAACCATGACAAGTATAAGGTTGTAAGTTAAGCATACCTAATGTGGCAAATAAATGGCCAGAGTTCAGTTACATTCTACCAAGTAGATTGAAACTGTTCTTCCATTTTCCCGAATGGTCTATGTTTTCCATTTCCTCTGGTTTTCATTCTCCAGCGCGAGACCTTTTGTTTTGTTCGGCCCCATTTCTTGTAAGTACTTATATTTTTTGAATTTACTCGGCCGTTACTTGATGAAAATCCATAGCATATGTGAAAACTTCACAAACGATAAGATTTCTACTAAATTCTCAAACACACGACAAGTTTCGCTAACACAGTAGCTTCATCAGATGATATACTGCTGGTACAATGAACTCCAGTTCAAATGTTCCGTGATTGTAGCTGTTCCGTACATCTCATGCAATGTCCGAGCAAGGACGTCCACGGAATGTCTCAGCTGGTACATCATTTCGAATGTCCTAGAAATAGCATCCCTTAGACGTCAATGCACGCCGTACATATTGTAGAATGCCCATGCAAGGACGTCCTTGGCATGTCCCTGACGGGATATGATTTTAAACGGTCCGTTTCGGACATCCATCGGATGTCCCGAGTAGTACATATTCTGACATGACTTCTGATCTCATATATAATGTCCCTTTTAGACAACCATGAAATGTCCTTGATATTACATTCCATCAAATATCTCTGCACAGACACCCTTGATATCTCCAGGATCGATAGTTGTCCCAGGGACATCCCTCAAGGACGTCCCTAGTTGGTCCACAAGTGGGACATTTGTGCGTCCCACAGATGGCAAATGGACGTCCACGTTACCGAATTCGAACTCCTATGGACGTCCTGAATGTCCCGACAGGACTTCCTAAGGATATTCATGGGACATTGTGTTATTAGGTTCATATGGAATTCTAGTTTTTCAGAATGATTTCGAAACTCTTGCCAAGAAGAGGAATTATTGAAATGAGCCTATTATATTCGAAAAGGTGATCGATTTATCCCTATTGTTAACATATTCTCTGTCTCTCTCCAACACATGGGTTCTTATAGAGAATGCCATTGAATGAATTTCTGAATAATTGCGATAACCGCGATGGTTTTGGGAGATTGAAAGCTCTCAAATTCCAAATAAAAAATACAGGACTGTATTTAAAAAACCAAAGTTGATGAGGGTAGCTCAAAGACTTTCGTCGGTTTGAAAATCTGATAAAAACATCTTGTAGAACAGGAAAATAAGCAGCAAGAATGTGTAATTTATTTCGTTACATCTATTCAAATAGAGTCATAAAAATATAAAAATGAAATCGCAAATATTCAGTGTTTTAAAAAAATCTTTAGAAGTATTCGGAAATTTTCGAATTTGAAAACGGCATTTTGTTAGTCATCATATTGCGCATTTTGACATAATTCAACCGACACTGTAGGCATGTTCTTTTTCACACCAAATTTTTATCATTGATGGAAGTGACGTCACTCTCTGAAGAATCGAATTGTTGTAGTCATCAGTGCTGAAAAAATACGGAGTTATTTGACATGAAAATCACAACTCTTTTTTCCTTTATTTATGTTTCTGCTCGTGATTTGATGGGAATTTATAGTGTTTTCAATCAGAAGCTCAGAATTGGCGAAAACTAATGGAAAATGAAAAATGATGTATTAGTCTCCAGATCTCAAAGTTCTAGCAGTTCACCTGATAGTTCCGAGGAAGAAATATTTCTTATGTTGGGGCGTAGACGAGATAGGTTGAAAATTCTCAACAACCTATGTAAAATATTGCATATAATTATGATGATATGGATAGAGTCATTAATAAGAATTCTCTGTTGGTACTCAAGTTCCCTGAATGTTTGCACTAATCTCTTGAAATTCATTATGGATATGAAAAAAGTACCCATACCACTCGAAATTTCTTCAATTTCTGTTGGTGTCAATAATGCAGCTTTTTTTTTCATATTATAGGCTGATTTCAATTGACTCATCCATAATTTTTCTTAGGCAAATGGCAAACAGCTTTCAGATCCAATATTTTGTTTTCAGTTTTTCGAGGTTATGCTGTCGCTGTCATTTCGAAAGCCACCGAAATTCGTCTACCATCTCTGTAAACTAAAGAATATAGGTCGCGTGCAAAAACTGTCAGATGACCGACCCTGGAGGCAAAACATATTTGTTTACAAGTGATCGAAATAGTTTTCCACAATTATTTTGGCATATGAATCGTATTTTTCCGCTATTCATCAATTCGCTAATGCCATCACATTGTGCTGTTGTTAAATGCACAAAAACTGCAGCGGAAGATGAAGAAATCCGGATGGTACATTATGATTCAAAAGAAAGTACCCACTATAGTCACTCACATATAGTTTTCATTTTTGAAATTTGGTAATTTCTCTGATTTCCCATCGGAATTCCTTCTGCGATAGGAGCTATAATAGAAATACACCTGAAATTTCTGAAACAATGCAAGAAGATTGGATTCAATGCAATCAATCCGGAGGACTCGTCTGACATGCTGACGATCGTGTGTGTTGTAGACATTTTCAATATATTAGCAGTATTAGCTTGTATTGCAGAAGTGGCAGAAGGCAGAAGGAATTTTAATAGGGAATGACAACATTTCATAATGATAACTATGTGAGATTACTATTTACCTGAAAAATCTTATTCTTTAGTCTCTTGCTGCATTTTTTGTGCATTGTACAACAGCACAATGCGAAGGCATGCTCGAATTAATGAATAGCGCAAAAAACACGATTCGTATGCCAAAATATTGTGAAAAACTATTTCATTCCTTTGATTCCTCTGTAACCAAATGAAAAAGTGAGGTTGTGTTTCAATAATTCACAGAAGAATGAGGTTGTGTTTCAGTATTTTGCCTCCAGGGTCGGTCTTCGTGCACGCGACCTATTGATCATTCCAGAATTACGTCATGTGACAGGTTGCTGAGGGGCAAACATTGTATTTTGTCAAGATCTGTCATAGAAAACCAGAATTAGTGGGATCGTTTTCCTTGGAATCCAAGTTGGAACCAGAAAGAATTTCATAATTTTGTTTGGTTAAACTCTTATTATATTGTGGATGTGGCAGAGGGACGGCCTGGGCAATGCTCATCAAAGGTATCCTAACAGATAGTCTGTGTGCCCCTCAAGAAACCATTTCAAAATCACGTGTTCTAGAATGATCAATATGAACGCAGTTGGTGGATTGATGGAGCCACCGGTGCATAGAAGAACGTCCCTTGTATCTCCTTCGATTGACGAGATTCCAAAGATGAGGCTCGAATTCCAGCCATCCTGTTGAGTGTGAAGGCGCAAAATGGAATGGAGTTGATTATTATTATTTACACTGCCATGAAATCTGTGGTCATGATTTTTATCGTCATGGTGTAAACATATAACCATCTATGGCGCGAACATAACACGATCTCACAAGTGAGCAACAATATTTTAGATTATTTTAGATTATAAGCTTCAGTTCCATGTGCATATTGAAATAGTTATACAAAGAGCTCAACGAAACTTGGGTTTTATTCTGAGGGCTACACAATGATCTTTCCAAAAATAAGAATCGATAATAATTTTATACATCTCGATTGCTAAATCAATTTTGGAATATGCCTCGGCAATTTGGAACTCAATTTATATGGTAGTTATATGTAGATAGAACCGAAAATATCCAACGGAAATTGATCAATGAACTAAACTTCAAGTTCTATAGAAATCGGCAAAACTTTTCGAATGAGAGAAATTTGATTTGTTATAAACTTCAAAATTTAAGTCAAAGAAGAGAGTTTTTCGATGTTTGTCTGATATACAAACTATGCAATATGCAATAACCTTATCGATTCACAACACAGTAGCTTCATCAGATGATATACTGCTGGTACAATGAAGTCCAGTTCAAATGTTCCGTAGGAATTGTAGCTGTTCCGTACATCTCATGCAATGTCCGAGCAAGGACGTCCACGGAATGTCTCAGCTGGTACATCATTTCGAATGTCCTAGAAATAGCATCCCTTAGACGTCTCACGCCGTACATATTGTAGAATGCCCATGCAAGGACGTCCTTGGCATGTCCCTGACGGGATATGATTTTAAACGGTCCGTTACGGAGATCCATCGGATATCCCGAGTAGTACATATTCTGGCATGACTTCTGATCTCATATAATGTCCCTTCTAGACAACCATGAAATGTCCTTGATATTACATTCCATCAAATATCTCTGCACAGACACCCTTGATATCTCCAGGATCGATAGTTCAGGGGCATTCCTCAAGGACGTCCCTAGTTGGACCACAAGTGGGACATTTGTGCGTCCCACAGATGGCAAATGGACGTCCACGTTACCGAATTCGAACTCCTATGGACGTCCTGAATGTCCCGACAGGACTTCCTAAGGATATTCATGGGACATTGTGTTATTAGGTTCATATGGAATTCTAGTTTTTCAGAATGATTTCGAAACTCTTGCCAAGAAGAGGAATTATTGAAATGAGCCTATTATATTCGAAAAGGTGATCGATTTATCCCTATTGTTAACATATTCTCTGTCTCTCTCCAACACATGGGTTCTTATAGAGAATGCCATTGAATGAATTTCTGAATAATTGCGATAACCGCGATGGTTTTGGGAGATTGAAATTTGGCAATTTGGAACTCAATTTATATGGTAGTTATATGTAGACAGAACCGAAAATATCCAACGGAAATTGATCAATGAACTAAACTTCAAGTTCTATAGAAATCGGCAAAACTTTTCGAATGAGAGAAATTTGATATGTTATAAACTTCAAAATGCAAGTCAAAGAAGAGAGTTTTTCGATGTTTGTCTGATATACAAACTATGCAATAACCTTATCGATTCCAGATAGGTACTGTCTTCACTCATATCATTAGAAATAGAAGTATCCTTCAGACTCCTGAAAGTAGGACAATATTCGTTCCATAGATTAACGACTCCCGTTAATCTATGTTCG